AAGTAAAAAGAATGAAAATAAAAGCACAAGGTCTTCCTTCACCAACCCAAAGATCCTAAAATTATACACCATCCCATTTACTCTGCCCTTGATTATCTTCAGCCTAAGATAGCTCAATTGTGCACGCCCACTTTTTAGACCCACGAGCCGCCCCTGAGTGCGACAGAATCTGCGTTTTGAACATAGGAAGAATTAGCCATGAAAGAAGCTGCATGACGACAACCTTGAGACCATCTTAAGCTACATTGACCGTCTGCATAGACGAAAAGAGCCATAAATGTTCCTCAGGCTGGTGAAGATGTGTTATGGCTTTAACTTCCTCCATCATTGTCAAACCTTCAGCCAGCCGTCTGCTCTCTGTCCATTTTTTTTCTAACGTTTGTTCGTTGGCGTCTTAATTTAATCATTCTCCTCTTACGTTTGTTGTGTAGAAGATATTGGCCGTTGGTTGAATTGGATGGTGGACACAACTGGTACGTCGTGCTCTTTTTCTTTCCCTCCGTTGTTTCTGTCCTTCTGGCGGTTGCTTCTTCCGGCAATTAATGGCTGTTATCGTACTCTTCACTTCAACAAAAAAGTAAATGTTGCTTTCAACTCTTTGTACTCATATCTGTCGAACCACCCGCACCCCCAACCTATCATTACTCACACTGGACAAGATGCCAATTAGAGTTCCAAAGCGCCGGACTGCGAGGGAATCGTAACGTAGTTCCAAGTACTGGAGAAAGAAAATAAACAACACGCATCATTAGATTCTTACCCCACGTTCTGGTTGTTGTTGCTGCTGTTGTTGTTGGTTTGTTGTTGGGGTTTTTTTTTGTCTCATATTTATTTGAGTGAAGAGCCTTTCTCCACAATTACTGTGTGTTGCTTGTTGTTGAAATACACGTTTGTTGATTGTTTGTTTCTCGGTCCGTCTGTCTGTCCGGCTGTTCGCTTGTCGGTCTGAGTCTTCTCCTCTCACTTACCCACTTTCTCTTGGTTTATACACCTTTCTATAACTATCGGCATTTACCCCCCCCCCC